TTCGACATCTTCGACGGTGCGCGACGCTTACTCGAAGCTCGGCACGGTCGTCCCGATGCCTCGCGCGTAGATCCCGGGACATCTTCCGCATTCGGCGAACAATAGGGCCACTTGACGCCGCTCGGCCAAGCGCGCGCTTCGCTCCAAGCCACACCAACGTAGCCGGTCTTTCCCGATTAGGTATCGAACCTCGCGGCATGCCTTCGACGACGGCTACCGGTCCGAAGTGGCCATATGTTTCTCTTCATCTCCGCGTTCGGCATGACGTCACTCTACCGATGGACTTGGTATGTGCCCCTCGGTGAGGCAGCTTCTTGAGGAACAATGCAAAGCCCCTTGTACCAGTGTGCCACTCTCGAATAGTCGTAGCATCCTGTGTAGTATAAAACCTGTCGTACTTCTCTCTAAAAAAAGGAGATCCGGTTCCCCCCTCGAGTTCAGAGCTCATAAGTCGAGTTCGCCCTGCGTCTAAGCCTCTAACTGCGTCACTTCGTCCCTCGCTGCGTAACCTCGAAACCTCGTCCACTGTGTTTACTCGTCGATACCGTCTCAACGAACCCTTCGACTTCGACTATTGTCGAAGAAACTGTGAACCGCGTCCTAGCTAAGTCCCCCCTATCGAATTGTCTCTTTCTTCTACGATTCTTCGAAGAGCTCTCCCGAGCTTCGATCGTCTCCACTAACCGTCCACAGCCTCCGAGGAGCTTCGACGACGTGTCGAAGCCACCTCGTAGCTTCCCCATTGTTCGTAGCCTTTTCCGAAGGCGTTTCTCGTGTTCACTCGAACCGCGGGACACCTTGCTGCTAACTCCCCTCTCACTAGACTATAATCCGTCTCTCTAGTCCCTTTAGGTCGCACCCAGGTTAGGGGTTTGGGTTTCGTAGGTCGTATCATTTCTGGAGCCCACCGCGAGGGGATTTCAGGCAAGAATTCGCCGCTTTCGGGTTTCCGAAAACGTCTCCAGTAGTCACCCGCTCGCAAGCGCGTGAGGCTGCTAGCCGCAGCGCCGCCGAGAACCTCGACAGCTCCTCTCGAACACACTCGACTCCCTCTCCGACAATTCCCGGTAACTTCGACCGCGACGAAGAAGACGAGATAGACCAAGAACTCCAGGACGACTTCGACGAAGAACCGATCCCTTCGACCGCCGAAGAACGCACATCGTCCCCCGAGCTTCTAGGCCTCACTACTTCCGACTACGACATTTCGACTCCTGATCTTTTCGAACGATCCAGTTCTTCGCCCGAACTCGAGGATCCCATCCCAGCTACTTCGAATCTTGTACTTCCGACTCCGTCTTCGTTTCGCGCCCACGTTCAGCCGCCCATCGCATCCTCTTCGCGGCTCTCAGTCATACCTACACCCGAGCTGGCACCTCCGCCACCATTAGTACCTTCGAACGCAGCTTCGAACTCCAACTCCGCACCGCCCGCACCTACGATTCCTTCGACTACTACCACGTCCTCTTCGAGCCCAGCTCCTACTACCACTACGAACATGAGTCAGACCACGAATACACCATTGATGCCCCCGCGCGGTCATTCGACAGCACCAAGCTTCGACCCATCGGAAGTCCGTTCGCTTCGGCGTTACTTCCAGGACCTCGAAGCATTGTTCACCCGGTGTCAGATTACCGACGAAGCAGCCAAGAAACAGTGGGCCGTTCGGTACCCTTCGATCGACGTCGCTGACTTATGGGAAACCATCGAGTCCTTCATCGACGTAGCCAAGAGCTACAACGACTGGAAAGCCGACGTACGAGCACTCTATCCTGGCGCCGACGATACAAGAAAGTGGTCGCTGGCAGACATGGATCAGCTCATCGGAGAACGCGCTCGTATCGGGATTCACAATGCGGCAGATCTGGGCTGCTATTACCGTGACTTCATGGCCATTACGAAACATCTCATCGCACAGAACCGACTCTCCCCTATCGAACAAAGTCGTGCATTTCTTCGAGGATTCCAGCCAGCGTTGCTCACACGGCTCGAGACCCGACTACACCTCAAGCACCCCGATCACTACGCCGACGACCCATACACCATGGCAGAGATTCACGCGGCGGCTACTTTCATTCTACACGGTACATCGAGCACACCTACGACCGCGGCGAACCAAGCTATCGCTTCGACATCGAACACTTCGACAACGGTGCCCCCCGGGATGATCAAAACCGAAGACATCTCGATGATCATCGAAAGCCTGTCGAGGACGATCGCAACACTCATTCAGCCGACGACGCACGCTACGCACAACCACGCCCCCGCACCGAGACAACAAGCTACCGTCCACATCCACGAGAACACCGGAGCTGAACAGACGTGCCACTACTGCGGCAATCGTGGCTGCAGGGTAGGCACCTGTGAGTTTGCGGAGATCGACATTCGGGACGGCAAGTGCAAGCGGAACACCGAAGGCAAGATCGTCCTTCCAAACGGAAGTTTCTGCCCCCGCACTATCCCTGGTCTCACGATACGAGATCGAATTTACGAGTGGCATAGAAGAAATCCCGCAGCACCA